AAGACTTGTCCATCCGGTATAACAGTTCAGCTAAAAATACTGTTTCCAATGACTTATATATAACAGTCCTGGTAGTGAATGTCAAAATGAGATTTTTCTTTTACTTTGTAATTTTCAATACTGCTTTCTAGCCAAAAAGTCTCCCCATTTGGTGTTGGTTTTCCCATTGCCTTTACTGAATACCCTTTTGCTCATTTCTCTGCCCACACCCACTTTCTGGACAACTTTTCTAATTCAACAAGGTCATTTTGCATTTCAATGTTGTGAATTTGCAGAAGGCTTTTATGTGGGATCCATTGTAAAAACTCTCCCTCTTAAAATTGCAGATGCAAACTCATGCCTACTATAATGAAGCAAAATTATCATTCCGTCTCTTAAATCAATCACATCTGTCTAATCCTAATTATGGTCTGCTTATCCAGTCCCATCTCCCCTTTCCATTCATTGAGTGCTGGTGTATTCCAGCTGGCTGTGGCAATGATTGTGCTGAGAATGCTGAATCAGAGTAGGTCTCCTACTGCATTTTTGTGGTCATTTAAAATTTCAAATGTCATTAAAATTATGGCCAAAACATGGATTTTGCCTGCAGTCAGTCTTTAATCACCCTTTTAGGTGCTGCAAAGTTTCTTTAACCCCATTTACTGTGAGACTAAGAACAGAAAGTTGAAAAGTACAAAACCAAGGTTCAGATTCTGTAGATTTACTCTGTGGTTATAGAAACTATGATGTCATATTCAGCAGCCCATGAAAGAGAGGGAAAGCAAAGTATGCCATGTCTTTTTATGTAAGTTAGCCTCAGGGTGATGGTATTTGAAGCAAACCCTGTAGCCTACTGTGGGAAGTCAAGGTGCAAAGAACAGCATCACCCAGCTTGGATTCTGGAAGGGAACCAGATGAAGTGATGCTCGTAAGCCACAGATGAGCTTAGCATTTCCTGGTACAGTTCAATCTGTCCCTACGCTAGCTGTAGGTTTTAGAAAAATGCCTTTGGTGTGTTCTGACGGCAAACCGATGGCTCAGTGCCACAGCTGTGTGAGCAGAGGATTTCAGGGAACTGGCAGCACATATCTTAAGCCAATATGTAACTTTTCCAGGATAGCTTAAAAGCTCTTTGTGTTTTGATTTACACAAGTGAGACCCTGCCTGCTCAGAGAAACCTAGGGAAAATTCAGAAAAAGCTCCTAAAGTAAGGGAACCTTTCCAGTACAGTCCCCAAACCAGGTGGGAATCAGCAGTTCGAAAGCAACCTTTGTAGACCAGGTAATAAAGGAAAACTGAATAACTGTATTCATGGTCTCAGCTAACAATTAGGTAGCACAGTACGTAGACCCAAACTGCTGCAGTATCCTCCTCACACTCACCTTATGTTACATTCACAACCCACTTGCTGTCCACAGGAGCTTTGGAGAGTAGCTGCATAGAGTAACTGCAGCTCTGTGGCATATATTTGCTGTGGGCAAGTCACGATTGGAAACTGTTGAGGTACAAGTATCACATAGTGCGAAAGGGCTTGCTGAGACATGTAGCCGGAATTAATGTCACAGTGATAATGGAAGAATCTGAGCAGGAAAGGGATGCTCCAAGCTGCTACAGAGAACTGAAAGCACACACTTGTCTATTAGCAACTCATGATGTACTTCTTCTGCATATTATAGCCATGCAAACTAGTTATTACACTGCTGTGATTTAGATTCCCATGAAGCTCGAGAGTCATTAACAATATTATCTACCCAGTCATTTAAAAACATTTTAGGAGTTACTCATTATAGCCTGTGAACGGCTCTCTGTAGTCTTCTGTGCTTTTACCAGAGCATCAGCATTGCTGTTGTCTCTTTTTCAGTCTGCTCTAACACATTCTTTCCTTGTTCAGTTTCTGAATTTCAGCAGTGATGGTAAAAAGGATCTCTTTAGTTGTCTTCTTGACAAAGTTTCTTAATATTGCTTAGAAGTTTCCATAGTAAGGTCAGAGATGAATGATCACATGTCTGAATGACATAACTGCTATTTGAAATACCTGCACTTGATGCCTGTTGGTGACAGTACTCTGCTGTAAAACTCACCTTGGTGGGTCAAGGAATGTGCCCTCATACGTTCTTTTCTGCCTAATTGCTGTGGGAGAAACTACTCTTTTGCGGTTCTTAGACCTGCAGCTCTTAGGTCTGTAGCTCTTTCTCATCATTTTAGAAGCTACTGCTGTACAGAAGAATTTCAAGGAAACTTCAAGTTATTTTCTTCCTCCTGTATCCATCTATAGTAATACATTCAGTAAAAAGCTGATATAGCCACTTCTACAGCAAAAGGTATTCTGTAACCCCACATTTGGCTGAGATTTTAGATATAATTTCTTAGTCAAAAAAAAAAAAAACCAACAAAATTTAAAAGCAGGTATCCTGCTGACACAGAACAAGAATTCATTAATTATGGCAATAATATCTGCCAACACTGCCTTAGGGGCTTTAAAACAAGATTCATGAGCATCTAAGCTCCTTTTTTTACTACAGCACTCCTGGTTTTCCAGCAGTTGCAGCAGGGCACAGTTTACACCATCTACAATCCAATCTAATGGTGAATTCTTGCTGAAATAGGTTGTCACCAGCCCAGTTCCTATTTCCTCTTTGTCAGAGGTGAGAGTCTCAGCGTGAGTCATGTTTGCTTGTTGATCCAATGGACTCTTCCTGAGTGTGTGTGATGACTGGATGCGATAGAAAGCAGCCTTGGACAGAGGCATCAGGGCCAGTCCTAGAAGCAGCTTTCAGACAAGATGAAGGATATAGCTTCACATCATGCTTCATGCTCTTCATTATCCTGCAGTGTGCTTCAGCAGCTGTTGAACATCATAAGCTGTGGTCTTCCATCTCCCAGGAATCCCCTGTAGCCTTGCTGTTGTGATGTGGCAGCTTGGGAGGGTTCACACTGCCATGAAAAGCAGCCTTCCTCTTTCTTCACGCTTTACTACTGCCATGGTCCTCGAAACAACCTTTTAAAAGAAGATAAAATATACTTTTCAGCTGTAAGGGAAGGAAGAACTATGACCATTGCTGATTTCTTGTGTGGGGACACAGGAGAGCAACTCAAACCCAAGTGGCCTGTGGTAGGACTTGTTGACTGGCTGTGGAGTCGCTCCTATGGCAAGGGGCCTCCTTTTGGCTTAGAATGGCAGAGGGCAATTTCCTTGCAATTTGGCAAATTGATGCTTTTCTGCATAGTGTTATTTGGCATTGGGATTTTTCTTGAGGTGCAGGGATGGCAGATTTACAGTTAGAGTTTATTTCCCCACTGCCAGATATTCTCTTTCAGCACTGCAAGAATAATGTTACAGACCCTGTGCCAAAATATCTCTGTAGGAAACATTCATGGTCCTGCACAGTAAGGTTCTTCTTTGGAGCAAAATCCACTGATACGGGATCAGATATTTATTTATCTTTTACGGGTTTTTTTGCCTGGTTTATTTCGGAGAGGTGCAGAAACTCTATTTTCAGAAGCCAGAGCACCAACAAATGTCAAAGGCACAAGTGCTGCTGGCAAAAACTGCTGGCCAGGCCCCCTCCACTGAGCCCTGAGGAATGCTCTCTTGTTTGGCCCACAGACGACCAGCCAAAAACTAACTGCTCAACACACAGCTGGTTCAACTCTTCCCCCAGAGCAGGCACACAGGAAGTTACTCTAGGCCCAAACCTCTTTTCAGGCCACGTGGCGAGCTGAAGCCATTCACTTTTTTGTGCAGCTGCTTCACGATACAAAAGGAACTTTATTATGGATTTTACTCCATGCTAACAGAAAGCCAGTTGAATTCCCTCAGCCAGCTTTTGGGTATAGTGAATGCATCACTGGCCTGTAAAATAAACTGACTTTAATTACTTTGATACAGTATCACCTAATCCATCAAGCAAGGAAAATACAGTTGGGTTTTAAATACTAACCGAATAAATAATTAATATATTTTATTATTTTAACTGTCTCCAGTGAAATACTTTTAACAATATTTTCTCTCTTTCGAAATTGATGCTATAATCTAGTGGCAAAGAAGGGAATGGTTGCAAGCACTCATCTAGCTTGATGGGCTTGCTTGCAGTGTCCAGTTGTTATGTCTTAACTATGAGGAAAGTGTTAATAGCAGGTTTAATTGATGGCGTTGCCTTTGAAGAGCCTCTGTGGTGTCTTCTGGGGGTGAAAACCAAGACCACCATCTAAATTCTACTTTAATCCTGTACATCCAGCTCTGCTGCAAGGAGTCTCTCCTTTTTAGGTTGGTGGTAGGTGGGCGCTGGTACATCTGGCTGTGTTTCCTCTACTCACCTGTCTGCTAGAGGCTCTCCTTTCCCACAGGCTCTCCTGCCTGCCATGCCTCAGCTCCTCCAACTCAGTGTCTTGCATCTTAGCTCCAAAACGCCGGCAGCGGCAACAGCTAAGCTGCCACCGTTGCACTTTCTCCTAGAGGAGCAAAGGTGCTGGCACTTGCTGCTTTGGGTAACTGCTCTGGGCCTCTGAGCAACAGAAAATGCTGCCCCTCACTTACTTTAGACTGTGTCGCAGCAAAAGGGGTGGGAGGTTTTCTTTCAAAGAGCTTGCAGTTGTACCCAATGGCTGTCACTAAATCCTGGAAACTTCTGGAGCCTTTCGTGGATAGTGGTGACAAAAGCAAAATTCTTTAAAAATAACATGTATGATCATATGTATTTGAAAGAAAAGGTTTTGTGCTAAAGAAACTTTCTGAATTTATGTTAGTAGGGCAACAAAATTACCTCCTGTATTAACAGCAGTGCTTACTGAGAGTATCTCCTTTATTTTAGCTTTATTTTTGTTAATAGAATGAAGCAAAAAGTTCTGATTAATTAGATCATAGTGAAAGATTTTTTTTTCTTTTCTTTTCTTCTTTAGATAAATACCTAGGGATCACAGTTTTCTTTAAATTGTATCTGAGGACATTTGGATGTATTTCTGAACTACTGTGTGAAGTTTCACTGCTATTACAATATAAATCTTTAATTCCCTCTTTACAGCCAGTGCTGATTTCCCATACAATGGTCAAGCTATAGGAGATGGAGTTAACAGAAACTCTGCCATTATTGGAGGTAGGTAAAGCACCCACTTTTCTAAGATATTTTACAGTATGACTGTGATGGTTGAATTGCAGTTGGTAACATATTCAAGCTACTTGCTAAGAACTGACTATGTGGGAAAACTGCATCTGTACAAAGTTAAATGGAAATTTGTGTAAGTCCATTCAGGCACATTGTCCTAGTGAAATTATTCAGTTTTAACCAGATCAAAATACTGATATTTATAGTTCACATATTAAGCATCCATGTGAGGATCTACTTTCCAGTAGTTACTTATGTTAACAGAGTAATTAATTCATATGAAATGGCAAGGACTCTTTTCCAGTTACAGCAGATTCAACATGAAACTGTCAGACACTGTTTGCTCCACGATTGTATTTTAGGGGCCAAGTTCTGCTGTAACTTATATGCTGGAGAGTCCCATTCAGTGTGATGGATGATGTTAAATAATACTAGAATTGGAATTCTGAATTAGCATTCCATTGAAGAAATTCTGGCCATCTGCTTCCAGAAATAAGGATCCTGATTAATTTTATGCACACATGCAGCTTTCTCTGCCCTGTCCCATAGTATGGAAGTGTTGCACCTTAAGTCACCTGGGAGAACTTTGCCACTGCATCAAATTCTGAAGGCATATTAAAAAAATAGTAAAGATCAGCCTAATAGCTTTCAGTTAGTTCTAAATGCATACAAAATGACACACTGATTTTTTTTTTGTCATGTAAAGCAACACTGAGTGTAATAGCACATGCAGTCTAGTGGAATTTCTTGGTTTTTTTCCCTGGCCCCCTCAAGGATCTATGTTTTTATATCCAGGTTTAGATTGGTTGCTTTAGTTTTGATTTGCTTTAATTTCATTTTTAATTTATATTTTTATTACTACTTAAAACTTATCCTTAATGCTTTGAAACTTTACAATACTAGAAGGATAGCATTGCATTCCACAGAAAAAATTCAGGCCACACCTGAACAGCTTGGCTGTCCAATCCATCAGTTAACAAAAGTGGCATAACATAATTCTGGCTGATTACAAGATTTTTTTAACCTGAGAATTTTTTAGTGTCTTCATCCTAGAAGATCCTCATTCCTGTAGAGAAGGGCCAAAAAAGGAACAGTGCTGGTTTAGCACATAGATACCTGTGCCTAAGAGAGTAAGATGTATGAGACTTCTCCATAACAGGGCTGAACCCCAAAAAGGCCATTGCAGGGACAGCAATCAAGGATAGGTCTGATGATAAAGCAGTTGCATCTGTAATTATGTGGAGCCAATGCCTACTGAGTGGAGTGAGCCAACAGTGAGCCAAGCCAATTTTCAATGACATGTTGAGGGGTTATGATAGACCTATATGGCCATTGACTGGAAAGTGTACATCAGTGACTCCATCCTTACAGAGCTGTCCAGACAGTGAGACATCGCGATTTCACCCCCGTGTTTTGGGAGTGCTCAGCACCTTTTGCTTCACAGTCAGCAAAGCTCACCTCTGTACATAGGTATTAATGTTGAAGTTTACCTGCAGAGTGAAAGTCACTAACAGACAACACTCAGTGACATCTTAGATGTAGCAAAAACTATATATAAATATTAAAGTAGTGGAAACCAAGCAACTGTGGTGATGTTTAACTGCCCAGGTAGCTTTGGCTTAGGTCGGAGGAGCTGTGGGTTCCCTTCTTTGTGTCAAAATCTGATGTTCTCCTTGCTAGTGGCATCTTTTCTTTCCTCCTTTGTGTAGGTGTCATCGCAGTGGTGATCTTCACCATCCTCTGCACCTTGGTGTTCCTGATCCGCTACATGTTTCGCCACAAGGGAACCTACCACACCAATGAGGCCAAAGGGGCAGAGTCAGCTGAGAGCGCCGATGCCGCCATCATGAACAATGACCCCAACTTCACGGAGACCATCGACGAGAGCAAGAAGGAATGGCTTATCTAAGCCCATGGGAACAGGGCCTGGGGTGGGATACGAGCTGGGTCAGGGTGGGACTGGGATGACTCTTGCAGTGGGGAAAGAACACTCTGCGTTGGATGCTTGAGCACACGTACAGTAAAAAGATCAGCACAACTGGAGAAGCAAGTGGCAGGAAAATACCACTGAGACTGGAGGAAAAGAAAATAATATCTCAAGCATTTAAGATACTTTTTAATATTTATTTACAGGAAATTGCCCCTTCTGTGTCCAAACAACTCCAACAAAGAGCAGTTTTGCAGCTTCAGCCTTGGTTAAAATTTTCAGTAATACCTGTCTATTTCTCTGTGTGTTTTAGAGGTGTTCTGGATACCCGTGACAAGAAACGGGGCTGGTTTTTTACATTTTTTAAAAGCTGTTTAAAACGTGGGTAGTTCTGTTCTGAAAACAAGTGGCAGACCTTTCTTCCTGGCATTGTGTTCCTTTATGGCTGGCCACTTCCCCACAGGCTGCCCTCAGCCCCGCACCTTGACGGTATCACCGTTCATTTTGGTAGCGTTGAACCAGGGGTTCAGGGCTGGGGGTGGGACAAGGAAGTGAAGATTAACACAAATCATACTCACCAGTTTTTCGACGTGTCAGCAGCCCATGCCAACCCTGGCAGGATCCATCTTCTTGACCCAGGCACTTTGTTAATTGCATACAATTCTCATCAGCAATGTTAAAATACTGTTATTACGACTGCTGCTACTACCAGAGAGGATGATCATAGAGCACAGGAAGCTTTGGGGTTTTTTTTAAATCATTATTTTTGTTGATGGTCTCTGAGGGAGGATGATGCTGTGTGAGTCTGCAGACCTAGTCTGTTCCTGTGTCTTTGGCAATGGCACGGGTGACCTGAGGCACGTGCCAGTTTAAGCTCAGCTCTGCCTGTGGTATATTGACACATACTGTACTTAAGCATAAGCATTGTAGTAGGGAATTAGAGCCAGACTTTGTTTGCTTCTGTTTCTTTTTTATAAGCGGTCACAGAAATGTTAGTACAGCTCTAGTCAATGCATTTGAACCCACAGGCTTCACATAAAACTTTTTTTTTTCCCCCAACTCTAGCATAGCAATTTATTCTTTAAATCCTTTGTTTCGGTCCCTTTGCAAGGAAAGCCTCTGTTGGCAGTGTTCACTCAGGCAGGAAGGTGAGGCCATTGAAGCTTGGAAACTCTGCCCAGAGAGCATGTGAGAGACACACAGCACACAGTGGAGAGTTACTTTTCAATGTAGAGATTTACCTGAACTATTTTGCTGTCTTTCTAAGGCATTTTTAAGAATAAAGTAGCAAGGCCAACGCCAAGTGCAGCATTGCACCCTGTGTCCCCTCTCAGAAAAGGGAAGTTGTAAATGTCGCCTGAGAAGCACGCAAGCAGCTTGTAGGAAAGGCACAGGGGCAGCCTGAAGAGCTAATATCCTTTGATGGCAATAACATAGCTTTAGCTTGCCCTCTGCAGAGGAGCATGGTTCTCCAGGGGCCTGATTTGATAGGAATTTAAGGCCTTAATGGGCAGTTTTTGCAGTGGAACAGAATGAAGGAATGAATGTATTGTAGGGCATTTGCTTTATGCTAAAAGAACAGAAACAATACCAAGACTGTCCCTTTAAAAGTATTTATGCTCGTGTCAGTCCTAGATTTGCTTTATCTTTAATATTGTTGGGTTTAGTATGCACAGATTTAATCCATTTTTCTGTACAGGAAAGATGATTTTTCACCCAAATCAGCAATCTACTACACTAAGCAATGCTGATATCTTTAATTTCCTTGTCTTTTTGGTTGTACCTTTCATTATTCTAGTCAATGCTTTAAAATGAAAGAAAAAATCATAGAGGGGGAAGAAAATATGGGAGTCTTACCAGCCAATAAACTTATAAGCACAATTTGTCAGAAAGATGAGGCCAGATAGTTTGTGTTTTAAGGATGGTAGCCTAAAGTCCTCTTCTGGGTTCATTAAACATAGATATCAGAGCAAATCAAACCCATTTATTTCTTCTATTGATGCATTTGGAAGTAGCATACAAAAATGTTTCCAATTTCAAAAAAAATTGCTGTTTCTCAGGTAACGTTATGTGGCAGAGGGATTCAGGTAGGCATAAAAATCACCTCTGCCACTCCTGTGCTCAGCAGTCTTTCGCCTTGTCTCCAGTATTAACTTCTCCCTCTCTTGTGTTTAATCGAGCAGACAAGTCCTTATTCTCATTTAATCATGGGTGCAAGAGAGTATCAGCATGAGATGGATCTAATCTGCACCACTAACTATTCAGCAAAATACATAGCAATCACAGATGTCTTTGTAGGATTAAAAAGGCATTCTCTTTTCTATATTATGTGATGTTTAATTGTATTTTAATAGTATTTTAGTCCACTTGGAAAACCGTCCTTGCCTGCAACTTCAAGTTACCAAGAGAAGTGAATATAGCAACATTTACATAGATTGGGATTTGGTTTGCAGGAAAAACTTACTTACTAATCTGAATTTAATGTCTGGGAGGGTCAAACTTACATATCCTGAGAGACTAGAGTCCTCTGCTGCTTCGTGTGGGACACACAGATTAAGCAGCCACAGTGCAAATTTGCCAAATGCCTCAGCATGGCACTAGAGGTGAAAGATGACTCCATCTCTGTACCTAACTGAGTTCTCAGTGAAGATAGGAGCAGTTTTCTGGGTGATGGTAGTGAGGCCTATGACATCTATCCACTGATTTTTTAAAAGGTTACCAGCTTATCTCCAACACCAATGCACAAGCAATAGTTGTAAATGAGTGTCTTAAATTTGAAAAACAGGTTTTAATTTTCTGAAATCAAGCATCTGCATCTCTCCATTGACTGGACACCATGGACTTCTTTATGTGAAGTTCATTCGTGCTGTGTTTAAATGTTGATAATCTTCAATCTTGTCATTGTTTTTGTTATACACTCACAACTCTAAGAACTATTTTAATTATTAAAATCCTTGTTTGTTCTTAAACTGGACCTTAGACAAGACATTGTAGACTAGCAGGTGGTCTCTATGGGCATCTGGTGTAGGTGGATTCCTACCTGTCTGCTTTGTATTTCATTTTTGAGAACGGTGTATGTTTAATTATAGGCAGTGGTCATTCAGCAGCCTAGCAGTGAAGCAGGAGCAGGCTCAGACAAGTAGCTCGTCTATTTTTCTAGCATGATATCTATTCCGAGGATTTCTCCCTCTGGGAGTCTATTATTGAAGGTTGAAATGACATCCATACTTCACCCACTCTTATTTGTGCCAAAAATCCATGTTAACAGGTACTATCCATACCCCTGTAGTGGGAAAATCTGTTGGAGGGGAGAGTGGACCGTGCTTTTATAAAACTTTGTACTTTCCCCAAAGAATATTAAAATAATCCGTCTTTTATCACCTATTTAGTTGCTTCACATATTCGAACTGTGCAGGAAAATGTAGCTTGTCGTACTTGTTGGGGAACCAATGTGTCCCAGTTGTGTTTCTAAAAGGCTCATTCCTGATTCCACAGGAATCTACGGCAAAACTGCTGCCAGTGGCGGGGAGAGCAAGACTGGGCTGGAGACTAGGCTCTCAGTGTTAGTGAAATATAGTAAGCAATATTTTGGATCCTCATTCACAACACATGCAGACCACCAGGTAATGTGTCTTGGAGCTCCAAAGAGCCAAAACAGTGGAAAACTCATTTTTATGTCAACCCAGCCTTGAGAGGAAATCTGCAATCCAGTCTGGCAGTTTTGAATGAAGTCTTTCACACACTTCTTATTCCATATTTACTGATAAAAAGTTCAGATGTATTAAATAGGAATATGTATCTTTAATTGGTACTGGAACATTTCTGCTTTGTATTTTTCTTGTCTTAAACGTTACCTATATCTTTTATATCTCTTCTACAAGTTACCACTTCAAAGGTATGGCAGCATTTTAATACCATGCTCTAGGTAGCATGATGTATGTGAAAGGATGGTCATTATAAATATTTTAGTGAGACTGCCAGAGCAGTGGTGTATATGTTTGAGTTTATTGTAGTGGTGAGAATTCAGTTTCGGAGTCTAGTAAATACATTTTAATTAAGACAGTATCCTTTAATGGCAGATGCATCTAATTTCCAGGGTATCTGTTGAGTTTTGAAGCTATCTCAGTTTGATAAGCAAGCGCTTTTAATATGGTTTCTCCTGTGAACAATTTTACATTCCAGCAAGCATGGTGATCCTGAAAGGTGTCAATTTTGAAAAGTGGAACCTAAATTCTGTTACTTAGATTTCATTATCCATCCTAGAGAAACGAAACAGAAACCTTCTAAACCCTCTAAAAGCAACAGCATGTAAGCTAGAATTAAAGAAGGACAACATATATATATATATGCACCTAATATCTTCTACGAATGTCTTTCCTTTTAACTAAAGTTCTGTTAGGAACCAGATTGGTAAATAAAATTTAAAAAAAAAAGAAATTTGAAATAGTTTTAATTACCCTAGCAGCTCTTTCCCCATGCTTTGTATATTCTGATCATTGTCTATATTTTTTCTTCTCTAGTATCAGGAAATCAATTTGGAAAGGACAGAATTTGGAAAGGCCTCTTAAAAGACCCACAGTACATGAAAAAAGGGACTTCAGAATGCAGTTATACATAAGAAGAGAGGGTGCTAAAACCAGGGAAGATTTACTGAAGTGCAAGTATGTCCCTCCTGTATCAGGCAGCCCTGATCACCCGTAACGGAGGAGAATCTCAGGCAGTGTAAATCTGTACCTGTTGAGGTGGGCTGAGGGTCTGAGCGTAGGGTTTTGGTCAAAATGAAATTACTGCCTTCCTGAGTTTTTTTCCCTTTCTGACCACTTTGCAGCAAGCAGTCTGCCATCAGTTCTGCTCACATTTGTTACTGCAGGCTCTGTGGCATTGCCAGCTTCACAAGAGTTACACACTACAAATGGCTGAGTGTGGGTTCTTTGCCTTCCTTTTCCACTATAACTCTGTCCTTTCCCTTATGAATGTGAGCC